ATTAGATATCATTCATTCTTTGTTAAAATTAATGATAAATCATAGATGTATCATAAACCTTTAATTTCTCACATTGATTGAATTGAATAAAGCAAACACATAAATTTAGGTTGTATTTATTTACAATATGTTTTCAGCCCAATTTTTTTATATTTTCATAAAAAAGTAATTATTACTTATATTATTTTTGAGAACATAATATTTTCAAAAAGTCAGTCATATCTTGAGAGAATAAAATGGAACAGTTGATAAATCAAGATTAATAATTAAATTAGTTCTTTTAAATTGAATATCTGTGAATATCCTTGTGATTTCTTTTTTGACCTTTGGAAATTAAGACATATTGCACCCTGTATGCAGTGTATAAAATTCGTGTGCGCAACCTTCTTAAACTGTGTACAATGAGACAAAAATTTTTGTGCAGGCTCTCTACAAATAGGGTTTGTATAGGACCAGGAAAACTCTATCGTATGTGACCATCAAATTAAATGACAAATCATATTAATGTGAATCTTAGTTATAATTATGTGAATTGATTTTCCGAACACATTTTAAAATTATTAATAATGCGAATCAAAATAGCCGAGGACATATGAAATTATCTTTATTGATTAAAAATATTTAAAAAAAAGTTTTGTGTACTTGATTGACAAATTATTATAAATTAAATATGTTTCACCATCTACTGCAATCAAAAAAGGATTAATATAATAAGAACGTATTCCCAAAAAAATAAACTACTTCTCATGGTGTAATATGAATTGTAATGTCTCCTGCAAATTTTCACATGAAAAATACTGTTGTGATACAGGAAGATAGGCCTTAATAAAAATATATGATAAATGACCTAAAATCCTGCCGGCTTTTCTACCCATGAATGTCTTTTTCATAAAACGTTTATAACTTTGCCCAAACACTTGATAATTGACTCCAAGTGAAATAATTTGGCCACATTTACAAATAACTTTTTTTAGCATTGACAAATTCTTGAAAGTTAGGTATGTAGTAAAACGTTTTTGGCGTGAATCATAAGGATTTTTTTATTATTATTTTTATTATGATTTTTAAATTTTAAATTTTAATTTTATTGTGACATTTTTTTAATATTATTATTTATTATATAGTGTAACGATACATTTTCTAATGTCTGCGAATCAGTGTAACCGATAACATTTTTTCTTCGAATATTTTTTAAGGCACTTTCGAATCATAGTGTTGGCGGTCACATTCAATAGAGTAGAGTTTTCCCGGTCCTGTTTGTATTCACAAATACCGTAAGGAAGCCACACAGGGTCACACACAGGGCTGGAAATAGGGTCTGAAAAAAAAACGGAAATTTCTCTTGAATGCTAAAAATTTTCCGGAAGAAAATTCTAAAAAAAGAAAAATTTTTTGGGTGCTAAATTTTTTTCAAATTTAAGAATGTTCTTATTTTATTCTTTTGTTTTTTTACTAAGAGCATCACTAAAACCATAACCAAATAAATCAGTACCTTCTAAACCAATCATCATTAATAAGTACAATGTGCCATTTTCCATTGCATTACATTTGATAATATTCTGTTTGCTAAAACCTCTTCACAATCTACATTAGAAAATGGAATTGAGTGCAATAAAATTTTTTTAAAAAAGGGATTCACGTGATTTGGTTAAAAAATTATTTTCCTTACTGCCAAATTTAGATATGATGGTCGAGTATTAGTCTAAATTTCGTAAGGATGATCAAAAAATAGTCTAAATTTAGCAATGATCTTAGTGGACAAATTCCTCACAAGCATAGTGAAGTACATGTTTTAAAAAAGAATAGAACTCTACAACAAAGAATTTTTTGAGAATATCTTGTTATTACATTAAAACTAAAGACCTATTCTATCAACTAATAACGCTATTTTTTTAAAATGTAGGACAGAAAATGACTTCTATACTTTTAAAATTTGCTCAAAATTTAGGAGGTCTTTAGACCGAGCCAACTATATAGAAAATTTTTTCTGATCATTATGCTTTCTAATTAACAAACGATATTTGAGATTTTATACATTGATCTATATATAGAAATTCGGCCATTATTATTATGGTTTTGTAAAACTGTAAAAAGTCTATAGTGCAAATCACTTAGTCCCACAACTTTCTGTGCCACAGTGGCCAATTTTGAGAAAAAATTTCCAATCAAAAATGCAATAAAAATTTCATGGTCACATGATTTTCAAAGATCATTACACACATTTATATTAATTAGATAATATGAAATTTTGACATTAGCAATAGAAATAAAATATATATATACTTCCATAAAATATACTTTTGGTGCTAGATGGGAGATAGCAGTATATTTTGCACATTCTTTGATCAATGCAATAATTTATTTATTAAATTAAAATAAATGAACTTTGTATTTTTTTAATAATAAAGATAATTAATTATCTTCCCGTTCATCTGGAAAATTCACATGACAAAATATCTGCAATATAAAATAAATTTTTCAAATTTTTATTTTGTTTCAATTCGTCTATTTTTGATAAACTTTTTTGTGTGTAACTGGCCATTTTAGGGCCAAGAATAGTAAATTTGGTAAACTTTGTGCAACTTTAAAGCTCAAATCCTCCACAACAACATGACATATCAATGAAATGAAATCGTGATTTTGTAGAGGAAGGTCTTGGCTTCAAATACACGATTTATTTTTGGGGTGTTGCATTTCTATTTTTGGAAATTTGAAAATCTACATGACCAATAAAAAGTTGTGGGACTAAGTGACTTGCACTGTACCATGCCCGTGTCGATCATTACCTTAAAAATTGATATATTCATAATAAAATTTTTTATTGTGCGATTTGGTTAATTTTGATTGGTGGAATTTTGTAATTTACCAATAAATTTTTCGAAATTCCCTTATTCGAAAATGTGGACAGTTTAAGGGATAACAATATAGATTGCAAAATTATGAGGAAGCTATTTCAATCAATGCACAATCTTGTAAAAATTTAAAATATTTATCAATAATTTATGGAGATGAATTAGATCAGGAATTAATGGAAGTACTCAATGGTTGTACAAAGTTAAAAGTATTACACTTGATAATGGTTTTAATGAAGATTATGGACCAAGGTTAGGTGATGAAAGTATCTTGGAGGTGTAAAAGTATTTCATCAAATGGGGCACATGTGACGAAATGTGACAAAAGTGATGAAATATGACAAAAGTGATGAAAAGTGATCAATGTGATGAAAGTGGCAAAGCATAAAGTCAAAAGTCAAAATATATGATAAAGATGACAAAAGTATAAGATTCAATTTTATTTAGATTTAATTAAAAAATTTATTTAAACATTTTTTTTATATTGTAAATCATGTTTCTTAGTTGGATACTTAATTTTTGTACATAAAGTTTTTGTAGGAATTGCTGTTTCACATCTATTGCTGGTTTCATGACTTTCTTCGAAATCTGTAGAATCATCTGATAATTGTTGATTTTTTTCTGAATGTTGAAATGCTTCTTCATTCACTATTTCTGAAAATAAAGTCCTGTTCATTGATTCATGAACTAATTCTAATGGATCATAATCATCATCATCATCATTGTAATCTTTATGATTTTCCAATTCTATATCCTCATCCATTTTATCATTGTCTTCCAAAAAAAAATTATTTTCTAAATCCATAATATTGCGAATTTCTAAATCCTCTGTCTCATCATTATTATCATCATCAATGTTATCATCAATATAATCACTATGATTATCGCTTTCATCATCGTCACTTTCATCACTATCCAAATTAACTTCTGCTTCAACCAATGTACCCTTTAAATCCTTTTCTGATAAAGTCTGACCAGTATGTTTTAATTCTTTTTTAACATTGCTTAGATAAAAAGAATGAATTTTGGCAATATTATTTACAGAAGTAATATTTAGATTTTGATGGTTCTTCCCATAGTGTCTCCCTAAATATGAAAAAATGCATTCACATCCACCACTATGTGGAACAACTGAGAACAATTTAATTGCTAATTGTTGTAGATGGTTGTAGTTATCTTCACACGTATACCACCATGATAATGGACTATCACATTGATCATTATACATTGCATTATAAGGTTTTTGTTGTAATCTATATTTCTGTAATTGAGAAAGTAATTCTGTACAAGATTTTTTTGGTTATTGCATTGATTTCCAATAGGTTGCTGCAATTTTGGCAACATTTTGATATTGACCATATCTAATTCCAATTTTTTTGTAATCTGGATGCAAAAAATATGCTAATAAATATCCTTCATGATTGAATTCTTTCCATTGTAAATTAAATTTATTAGTACAGAATTTATTATAACTAGAATTTGTGTTGATGGGAGTTTTTTTAACTGCTGCAGCTAACTTGACAAGCTGTAGATAGCAGTCAGCAAGATTTGTGTTTTCCGATTGCAAAACTGTCACAGAATCTCTCATTGGTTTGAAAATATAAGAAAGATTTTGAATATTACTAAAAAAATTATATCCCCTTAAAATTCTCTTAATTGGATTTGGAATTAGATCACTATTCTCTGTTAAAATTAAAATAAAGCATGATTCT